TGGGGCCCTCAATTAGGAAAAACCTGACTGGATCACAGGCATAGTAGCACAAGCTGTCACCAATACCAGGGGGCATGAAGCTGGCTTAGGAGTGCTAGGGCTCCTCTAGGATGGGTTAAATCCTAGCTGGTTAAGGAATTTACCTATTGTATCCACTCTCAGGAAACATCCATGGTATCACCAATCCTAAACATTGAAAAAAAATCAGGAGCCAGGTCCCCAAGATCATCAGATATTTTTTTAAATAAGATATCATCAACTCAAAAATAAAGTCATTGCTATGGGGTTCATCTTTTCTTTTCTGCTTTTTGAGCCTGCAGGTCATGCTCCAGTTTTCATTTTTAGTGGTTGTGTCTGTGGATAAAAGCATTAAAAAAAAAAAAAAAAATGAAAGCAGAGGTTCTGCTATAACTTATTACCTTTAGCAGCTTAGGCTTCAAGGAAAGCACCAAGTATTCCAAGACTTGGAATAAAGTTGTGCGAGTTGGATCCACTAGCAGATACTGCTGGAAGAAGCCAGCAGTAAAATGTATCTCAGGAACAGGGCTGCAGGAAATCTAAGTGCCTACCTCAACAATACATGAATCGCCTCCAAGGTGCAGCTATTTCCCAAGTTATATGTTTTATGTTGCATTCAAATCTTCACTGAGGGTACCCCTGAAAATGTGTTTGCTGTCAGTGTAATTCCAACTTGAGCAGATCACAAAACTCAAGTCACCAGTAGGACTCAGTTCAGTCTCTGATCAGCCAGGTTTGGCAGATTTGGAGTGAACGGCTTTGGCAGAGCCAAGCTTATGGACAAAGGACAGGGACAGCATTAGCTACTGCTTGTCAAGCTTGACATAATTGTGTGCAATAGTTTGAGCACTGGCTGCCTACAATACAGCTGGTTCAAATCCACTGCAAGCTGGTGGCATACGCATGCACAAATCAGATATCTAACAGGATGATTATAGACAGCATCAGGCAATGGATTGGACTTAAAAGTAGGCAAGCAGAAGCAATGGAAGCAGCCTACCCTTTCACAAGTACTAAATTTCCCGCTCCCTCCTTCAAACCTCTTGAAAGCCATATAAGCATCATCCCTGGGAGATGTTTGTTCAATAACTAACTGGTACCATAGAAGCAACAGAGGGAGCACAGAGCACTGGGTTCCACAATAATGAGCAGATTCTCCTCACTAATACATTTCCAAACCAAGCTGGGACTCTGAGAAGGCATCGGAAGGTAGCTTGTGACAAATGAGACATGCAAAAAGTTCCTTGCAACATAAATGGGGCAAATTTTTCATTTAAACAATTTTGTTTCAGTCTGATTGATAATAATGGTAAATGGCCGTGTTCAGATTAAATCAGATTTTGGCTGCACATCTCTGGGGTCAAATCCTGAACTCTGAGACCTTCTGCCCTCCATGGTTGGCCATTGGACTGAAGGGAGCAGATGGTCCGTTGTAGATCTTCACTAAATGAATTGGTTTTGTTCCTTGCTAACCTGCCTGATGCAGGAGTACATGATGGAAACACCCGTTTTCAATATTTCAGCACTCTTTATTTCATCACATGCATCTCTCATTTACATAATTCAGTTTCAACATTTTGCACCTCATCAACAGGAGGAGGAGTATCTGATTAACAGCAATTCCAGAAAAAAAAAATTAATATCAACCCTGTTAACTTTACAAAACAAAAAACCAAATATGAACAAGGTATTTAATACGCCTTTAAAGTTCTTGAAATGATGCTTATTTGGTCATGAAGACAAATCATGGACAGCAAAGTGCCAGAATGCTCATCTAACACCTCACCCAAAGTTGGATCAATAAGCTTCTTACCTATTCCCTGGGCCATCATCACTATAACCACCACACTGTAACACAATTGGCAGAGTTGGAAATTTGTATAGAGTTACTGGTACATCTCTTGGAGTATCCAGATGGTAGGATTCTTTTCACGAAGTCCCCATCCCTCTTACAGGACTTGAGTATCTTGCAAGTCTTCCTTATTGGAAAGATTTTCTTTAAAAACAGGTTCTCTTGGTGAATACATACAATTAAATGCAAGTAATTATGACAATAATGAATTTATTAAATTGTAAATCTTATCCATCCTTGGATGTCTTGTATTTATCCATTTTTATGTTTCCCACCCTGAAGGTTCTCAGAGCGCTTTGAAACGCCAACATAGATTGTTTGGACTGGAACTTAATGGCAATTTAACCAAATGCAGCAACTCTGCTGAGATTGGAAGTGAGGAAGAGTACATCCAAATGCACTTGAAGAGATTTTAGTTAAGCAGCACAGATTCACCCAAACTGAAGTTTTTCCAGGACACGTAATCTAATTTGTGTTCGAGTTCCCAGCTGATCTTTCGATAGTACACAACAACCACTCTTACATCTCAGCTAAAAGACTGCAGCTCCACCAAGTTTCCTTTCCTATCATGATCTCCTAGTCAACAGTGAATTGGTTGGAAGAAACTCTATATTTCAATCATCAACACAACAGTAGGCTTTTTGGAAACTTCCCAGCCAAGCACTGTCCCACCCATAATGTGATTAATGTATGAAACCTGATAAAATCCCAGTTTTAGCTGCTCAAGCTGCATGCTAGTAATAGCCAAGTATACAAGTGACCTCTACTCTCAGGTAGTTTTTCTATTTATTACAACATATAAATAATCAGTAAAGTACTGTGTTCCAGAAATAGAAGAGTGCTATAGTGCTTCTGCCCTGTTCAAGGCATCTAGTAGAAAGTTGTTCTACTTGGAAAGGTGAGCAAGTAAAAAAGTTGCACCTTCTCTCTCAGCAGCTCTGCTGCTGCTTGATATTCAGTCACATCTGCTGACTTCAGTGTCAAATTATTTTCAACTGCTTTTCACTCCTGCTAATGCTGTGCAGCAACACAGTGATAAGAGGGGGAGGTGGAGTCCGTTTGCCCTTACACATCTGCAGCAGGACGGAATACTGACATTCCACCAGTTATGCTCATGCTAACCAAATGGAAAGCAATGCAATAGCATGGCTGTCACTGATGAGTGCTTCTCAGGCTGTTTGGATGTCATGGAGGTGGTGACAGCCTGCAGCACATTTGTGACTGATAGGATCAGAGAGAGCTGGGTTCTTTTCTTTCATAGTCTATCACCAACCCCTACAAATCCAGTTTCAAGGAGAACAGCAAGTCTCTAGGGTTCTATAGCAGTGTTTCAAACTAATGACATCTAAACTAACCATACAGGCCACCTTATCATTTTGTGCCTATGAACCATGACTATGCTGGCTACATGGCCAAGAAACACTCTTCTTCCAAGAACAAATTTCATGGAAAGCTGTAAAGTGAGCAATGCCATCTCTCCTTTAGATCAGGAGGCCTCTAGTTTAGGAGAGCTCGCACAGTTTCAAGTCAGCCAGAGTCCTCCATATAATTCAGAAAGCATTTAGCTATTATGGCATTGCTGAAACCCTGAAGATAAATTAATGGAAAAGGTCACCAAATAACCACAGACTGTCTCACTCTGCTGCATCTAGTGCTCTGCATGACCTTTCAGGAATAATGCTAATTTCTTCATACTTAATCCTGATGAATATTTACCCCGCAGTAAAATATCTGTGACATACCAGCAGAAGGTACTAGGGAATGGAAGAAGGTTCTTTTTTGTGCTCGACTAATCAATTGAATTCCTTCACAAAAGGTGACCAATAAAACAGAAGTATATCCCCCCTTCCTGATACCATCTCTGTAACTTCATGTTTGACTGCCAAAAGTATTAACTAACATCCCTGCTGATCTCCTCAGGGGCTGTGATAACATTAAATCTGAGTGCAGCGCTGGCATTGGTAAATGATCATCTTGCTGTCCCACAGGGTGCAAAGCTATCACCTGGCTTGGGTACAGCTAGTGCTGTTGCCTAAGCCAGATGACCTCTGTTTCACCTACATGTAGAGTTAAAGGGCTACTGCAATAATACATAAGGTTGTCAGACTTGTATCCATTCCATGCACACACACACCTCGGGCATGTCATTTCTCTTATCTGTGCCTCAGCTTCCCCATCCATAATGTGGGGATGACAATGACATAACTTTGTAAACAGAGTCGAGAGTATAGGGTAAGAGGTGCTACAGATTTCCTAAATTGCTGTAATAAAAGAGGCCCTGAGCCTGATATCTAAGCACAAAGAACAAGTCGGGTACAAAAATCAGTTTCCCTTTGGATTGTTAGCAGGTACAGAGGAAATGAAAGTCTCATTTGAATGCACAAGAAAAAACAAACAAACAAACAAACAAACAAACAGGGGCCTTCAAAGTTGTTGGAAAGTTAGTTTTAATCTGTGTAATATGCAGTGGTGTTTGTTCCAGATTAGATTAAAAATGAAATCAATCTATTTTTATGTATTTAGGACTTGATCCAAAGCCCACAGGGAGTCTCTCCACTGACTTCTATGGGCTTTGGATGAACCACTGATAGGGGAAATCAGTCCCTGTAATATCTGGGACAGAAATGAATTAAACAGCAGTCGGTGAACCCTAAATCAAGCCTCCATTTCTAATCATTGGAGCAGCGAAAGCAGAATAGAAAAGGTTAACTATAGTGGATTGCAGAGAGTTGTATACACATACCTCTCCATTAATAAAACATTACAATACATGTATTCAAAGTCCCTTACTTGTTGCAAGCATCCGTCCAAGTTTGCTCAATACAGAGCAGTATAAACAAGGAGTTAATTCCCCCCAGTGGAGCTCAGGACAGGCATTTGGGATCTGGTCCCTGCTGGAGTTTATCTACCCATCTTTCATTTGGTGGGTGTTAGCATGCTGCATCTGTCTTTCCTGAACAGAGCAGAGTGGTTCTGCTCTTTCTGAGGAAATGGGATAATGTCAGAGAAATGTCTGTGCTCCTGCTCAGATGAAGCACATGTCAAAGACTAAGAGAGCAAGATGGCAGAAGGGGAATCCTGCCAAACTACTCTCCTCCAACACACTTGGATACTCATTAAACTTTGCAGTGAGGGAGGTATGAATTGGTATGTTATATCTAGAGAGTAGTGGTGTTGGTGGCTTTGAGGCTGGAAATCATGGAGTAACTGGGTTGTTGCCGGTCTTGCCAACAAAACATGTAACCAGTTTCTGCAAGGCCGCAGCACGGATCCTAGAAGTATGCAGCACTTCCTCATGGTTGGCTCTCTCTTGACTGTCATAGTTCATCACTACCTTGTTGGTGATCAGGGAGATCCCAAAGACTCGGAGGCCACAATGCCTGGCTGTGATCACCTCTGGAACAGTGCTCATACCTATAGCAGGAGACAGAGGAAGCTCAGCATGCCTTAGGGTCAGACAAATAATTCACATCAAGAAGGAAATCCTTGAGACTGAAAGCCCTCAGCCTTTTCAATGTCTTCTATTGTAAGGCGAGTGCTTTTAAACAGTGTGCCTCCTTCTTTTGCTGCACCTTCTCTTCTTGTGGCAAAGGCATCTGAGCAGCACTATGGTTACCACTCCTCACTAGTCAATAAGTGGCCTACATTTGATTCTGGAGCTGCCTCCCTCCCCAAGATAGAGCCACCTGTCACCTTCTGCACAGCCATCCTAAAAGTACTGAAGTCTTGTATTGCTCAGCCCCCATCTTTCTGGGTTAAAGAATATTACCAGGAGACATGGCTTTAGGAGAAAAGGTTGCAGGGATATCTTAATTTCTTTCACTACATCACAGAAATACTTCTTAGACTGACACAAAGCATCCTGAAGATCATTCATGTGCAGACCTTTCTGAGCTGCTTAAAAGCTTCACTGTAACCAAATACTGAGCTGTAAGGATCTGTATGAATCATAACAATCATCTTCCTTGCAAGAGGCTAGAAGGGCTCATCAATTGCTACCTGTAACAGTTTGTCATGTTATGGGCACCATGAAAGTGCTCTATAGCTGTGCCCTACAGAAGTGCTCAGCTGCAAGACAAATTAACCCTCATTTAAAGAGGGTTTATATGAAGATGCTCTAAAGTGGAACACCTTCATTAACTTCTGTTTGTCCCTGCATGCGAGTAGGGCTGGGCCGATCCAGCCCAACCCCGCCCACAAAGCAGTCTATATGGCTGGGAGGGGGAGAAAGCAGAGGAGCAACCTGTGGTCTGGGGTTTGCCCAGCCTGCGCTGGAAGGAAGAGGGGTAGGGCAGGTGGATTGGAGGCCCCCCTTGAGGTGGGGGCTCCAACCTTCCCACTTGCGGTGAGGGCTGGGCAAATCCCAGATGGGAGCTCCTTCCCCTGCCTTTTCTCTCTCCCATCCTACAGACGGCACTGGAGCTGGTGCAGGGGAAGGGGGAGGGCTAGGGAAGAGAGGCTGTAGACAGGTAGCCTGCCTGCTGGATCAGCTCCCCCCCACAAAAAAAGGAGCTTGATCCTCTCCTCCACAACCTAATAGTGAATGTCTATTGGGTTGGGGTGGGTGAGGGGGAAAGAGGGATGCTGTAACTCATAGTGCTTTTTTTTGAAGCACCATGAGTTATGGCAGGGGGCTGCACATCTGTCAGTGCCCTCAGATGAAAAGCTCTATAAAAAGGGAAAGTAAAAAACAAAAAAAAAACAAAATACAAAAACAAAAAATACAACACACCAAAAAAACTTTTGACCCCAAACATTTTAAGAAGTGAGGTAACACACTTCATTGCTTATTGCACATAACCCATTCCTGGGTGAGTCCAGGGATGAATCTGGCCCATTAGATTTTGTAATACTCTTTATGTTTAGGAAAGGAAGCATTTTGGAGTTAGGCTCCTGAATGGATGCTGGTTGTCTAAAGATACAAAACTGTTCTGCTGAGTCACACTAGCAGCTGGACTTAGTGGGTCCTGTTGTCACCAAAATCAGGACTATATAGGGCTGTAAGTTTCTGTAAGTCAGAGGGACCTAGGGACTGGAACAGATACTGGGACAATGCAGAAGAAATCCTAGGAACAGTCAAACTAGAACGGAGTTTAATTTTTAATTTAAAAGTAAAGGCAGAGTCCACAGTTGGGATAAGTGTGGGAATATCCAGTGTTAGGAGCAGAATGAGGACAGTCTATTTATAGCTCCTCTGTACATCCAGCCTTTTCCGAATTACCCCACAAACCCAGCCCATACATCTCACCTACTGCATCCGCTCCCAGGACCTGGAGCATGCGACTTTCAGCAATGGTCTCATAGGAGGGACCTGCCAACATGCAGTACACACCCTCCTGGATGAATTCCAGGTAGCCCAACTCCTGTGCACTCTCCTTAGCTAGGCCAAACAGGTCTCTGTCGTAGGCATCCGACATACAGGGAAACCTCACCCCAAACCTGCAAGGAAAAGAAGAGCTCTACCAACTGACATTGGATATCAACCTTTCTGCTGCTACCTCCATAACTCAGGAGTTCAGCAGGGCTCACATTCCAAACCCCCCCCCAGCAAACATCAAGGATAGACTATCATTACGGCAGTCTCCTTTATAACTGTCAGCATGACTGGGTGACTCAGCCATCACTGCATTCAATCCTGCCCTCTTGAACCCCCCCAGCCCTCCCTACTAGCCAAAAGGGTTACTGTTACAGTAAAGACAGATATGTTGTTCCTACAACACAAATGCCTTAATATTTTGGGGGCCTCCACCCTTGCGGAAGAACTGACAGCTTATCCTCATTTCCCCAATAACATGCTGACTGCCATTCTTTTTTTGAATGTATACCTCATTACCTAATTGCTGTTCCTTTCTTTCTAGTGCATGTGGGTTATGGATAGGGCTTTCTGTGAGATTTGCTGCTCCCTAAGGCTATTCCAAGGAACAGTGTTGGGGAGCATCCAGCAGAGTTCTGTATAACTATACCTTTCTGACTCTGGATCATGCAACTATCAGGACAGGCTTTGTTCCAAGGCTACTCATATTTTGCAGACCTGAGGGCTGAAATGGCAATTGGCCAGAAACCCTAGAGTGGAAAGTAACTTGCACCCACATGCTTTAAAACAGCAGTAAAGAATTGGAGTAACTCCACTAAAACTGATTGATATTAGGGTTTACTCCTGCAATGCATACTTCAATCTAGTTTTAGATATCTTCAGTAATCCTTTCTTTGTGAGGCATGTTCTGCATGCTGATGGATCTCACTAGTGGGGACATGTTTCCAGCTGTGGAGCAGCTGTTTATAGTTTGGAGTTCTGGCACCACATGATACTGTAATAAGAGAACTCACTCTCGTATTTAAGTTGTGTTCTCACCTCCTAGTTGTGCAGGCCGGGAGCGATCCGAGCCCTTTTCCATGCTGCACGCGGGCTGTGGCCAGCGGCCCGGGCACACCAGGTCGGAGAGGGAAGGCCGTCGAGCTGGAATTAGGCACAAACGCTTAGCGGTAGTTTAAAGATTGTTTACTTACACCGAGATGGCAGTGGTGTAGGCTGGAAAACTTGCTTGAGTTGCGGTTACAGACAGACAACACAGACGGTCTCGTGGAGGTTGCTAGGCTCCACGGTACAGAGCTCCGGATGCTCTGGGTGAACGAGCCACCAAAATTAGAATCGTAGATACGTCTTATAAAAGTCGCGCTCGAAGACAGAAAGAGGTGGGCGGTGGATCAGGTCGCCAAGCTCCTCTGAATCTCACACAGGGTTTCTATTACCCTGCCATGTATCCAGAGTCCCCACGAGATGGATGTGGAGTCCTCTTCGGCTTGGGCGGAAACTGCCCAAGCCTCTTATACGGCTAACAGGCCAAGCGCTAGCCGCCACGTGGGGATAATTTAGAATTAGCCAATAACGGGGAACAAATCTGCATACCAGTGGCAGGAACCCTTTTGCACCGTGCATTCCTCTTGCAACATGAGCAATGCACTCTACAAAAGAAGCTGCAGAAAAGGCGGGAAACTCGTCCCTGCACTGGGGTTTTTCTCTGCAACGGGAAACTCTCCCGTGCAATGAAGCTGCAACTTGGCGGGGATAATTCAGGTGCCGAAGCACACACAAAATCATGCCTTTGGGTCATGACACTAGTCACAGCAGAGGGTGACTGTGGAGCACATATTAGGACTCCCATTTCAGGTAACCTAACTTCAGGGTGGAGGAGTTGACTCCTCCCTCTCTCTTACAAACAGGCTCCACCCTTCTCATTTGCTCTTCTACAAAGAAGACTGCTCCTGCTCAAGACAACAAATGCTTTGTCAATGACTCAGAGAACAGAAGAGGTAAAAGGACCTAATTTAGAGACACTGGAAAACCAGCAACACAAATTTCAAGCCATCCTCAATGTGGTTTAATGGAAACTGTTCAAGCCCTCAGTTCACCTGGACTATGGCTTCAACTGCCTTCAAAGTTTGATTAGCTGTTCAATTTTATATTAGTACTGTCCCAGCATAAGGCCCTGAGCCCGAATAGGGTTTCTAAATGTTTAAGTAAAATGAAAATAAAAACCCCCCAATCCTTCACACATGCAATCAGAGAGAATAAGCATGATCAAAAAAGCAAACTGTTTTCTTAAGTTCATGGAATATGGCCAGCTGTCCATATCCTAATGTGTTAAATTCAATCCTCAGATTCTTGCACATATACCCTCTTAACATCACTCTCTTTCCCCCATTCTTGTGTGCTCTGGATAAATTCACTCTAGGCTAAGATGCACTGGCTTTTAGTTCAGCTAAGGCACTGCAACACTTTGAAAATGGATTGATAAAAACCTCTCTCTTGTTTTGCTTGTCCTGAATTACCTCTGGTCAGTGATACAAGAGAGTCTGATCTCCCAGGATGCTGCACACTTCGCAAGAGAGCTTCTCTTGACAAGCAATGAGACAATTACTCTACCTTTGAATTCTGTCCAAACAAAGTTATTGTTCAGCTGGCTTTTTATCTCCCTTTCCTCAAGGATTATCTGAAGCCAGAGAGCTGTCAACATTTTTTCCACATGGCTTCCTTGCATTTGATTGGTCTTTCTTTTAATTATTACCAATACCATAAGATGTTCAGCTTTAGATGGGCATTGTCCTTCTCTTGCCATTTGGACTACAGAAAAGATTAAGTCCTTTTTTCTGGGAGCAATATTAAAACCTTTCAGGTTTCTTCTGAAGTCAGTGTCAGGCCTGGCATGAGATCAGCAAGGATCTGACTTCAATCAGCAGGCATGCAGGACACAGTGACCCTAACGAAGCCTTGCTTTTTTTAGAAAGAGGCTTGCAGAATCCAGCTGCCATTCCTGCAAAGACTGCCCTCTAGCAAGATTCAGGTACTAACCCAACAGTGACTCTAGAACAGTGCTTCCCAACCTTTTCTTCAGCATGACCCCATTTATGGCCCCATTTCTTCAGCATGGCTCCTCACTTCGAACCCACAGCCCCCCTGCAACCCCATCCTCTGATGTTGCGACCCCATTTGGGGTTGCAGTTCACAGTTTGGGAACCACTGTGCTAGAACATTTGTCAAAATGCAACAAATGTGTTTAAATGCAAATGAATTACCCTTGGCATTGTTCTTTCCCTGTCCCAGTTCTGTGCGGTTGGACTATTTTCTTCTTTGCCACTACAGCATGCTATTGACAGTCAATAAATCCTGCTAATTTTAATTCTGCACCATCAAAATCTGGATCATTTGTCTATTTCCACAATGAAAAGCCTCAGACAAAAAGCGCAGATCATATTTCTGTTCAACTACTGCAGCCTTCTCCTCCGACTTCCTTGGTGTTACCTACTTACTCCTCCAGTATGTGTAAGACTACTGTGGATTTTCAATGAAAATTCAAGATCTGTGATGGGGTATTGCTGACCATCTGCTGTACCACAAATAACTAAGTGTTCTTTAGGGAGCTGTCTGTCTGCAAGTTAACTAGGATCCCTCTTTTAACAAAGATCTAGCCCCTTCTCTCCTTTTTCAGACCCTGTCAGATGAAACAACGGCATCCTCACCTCAGCTGTGCTGCAAGGTAAGCCTCCAGAGATATTTTGAGACAGCTGCAGATATTTCTCCCCCAAGTTTCTTGCACTGAGCAGTGATATTGGAATTTGTTAGCCATCTTGTTTGTAATTGCATTCCACCGATGGAAATGTTTTACAGGTTCCTCTCTGTATGACATCCACAAGGGTATAAGTCAGCTACAGCCCAACTAAGGAGCTTAGATTCTTCAGATCAATCTATAGCACTTCTTGCTAAATCCCCAAAGGCCACCATTCAGTTCCTGCTACATTAACCAAGATCGCCATCATCATAAAATATTCTGAGTGGATATTTTTCCTATAGTTAGGAGGACAGTAGTAGGAAAGAGCTTGATTTAATGGTCTGGATACAAGGCTGGGCATCAAGGAACTTTTGAGCTGAGACCCTAGTTCTGCTGCTGAATTATTGCATAGCCTCCATCACATACTTCTCTCCCTCTTTTCTCTATTTGTAACAGTGTGAAAGACAGCAATAATCCACCTATTGCAGGGTTTCCTCTTTTGTTCATGTTTGCACAGAGCTTGGCAGGTGTAAGATGTTAAGTACTGTTAACGAATAACAAAACTGTTTTCATGGATCACCCCTATCATGCAGAAGGATGGAAAGGTTGATAAAAGGGCTGGTATGAAACTCACTGAAGAGCCCCACTTCCCCAGTGATGCCAACTGTTACACAAGCTGCAGCTTGCATCAAATCAGAAATAATCATTAATAAATGCAGGCAGCAGCATGGAAAACATTGCAATTAATTACATCAGTTAATTGAAGGCACCTGGCAGAGGTGGCAAAGACAATCACAGAGTGCAGCAGCTTTAGTATCACTATTAGTGGAACAAGCTCAGTCACACTTCCTGTGTGGCTGGTCCCGCCACTATGAGGACTGGTGTCCCTGTTTTTTCAACAGTAAAACCATCTCAGTGTGTGTGTGTGGAAATTCCCCAAAGGCTTGCAGCAAGTAAGCAACAATAAGGGAAGGTGTCCAGGGAAGGAAAAGTAGATGGCACAGCAAGTGAAGTTGCTGCTCTAGCTTCTCTCTTGTGGGCATACATTTGGTAAATATTTTGTCAGACACAGTTAGCAGTCTCTCTATTTGGCTGGAGTAGGAAAGGATCCTATGTGTGGACTGAAGTGTATTGGGGTGGCCTAAGGGCAAGGAAGGGGGCTACTGCAGGTTAGAACTGAAATCCATTGACTGAACCCAAATATGAATTCAAAGACTGGAACAGCAGGAAGCATGAATGGATCTAGGATTTTGAAAAGGGTGCAGATGGTGCACTGCATCACCACATGTAACACTTTCTTTTTAACTGCAGAAAGATAAATAGAAGTTTCACTGCTATGCTAGGGGCCTTGCAGTATATATTTAGTTTAAAATCAAGGCAAAACCAAATATAACTATTGGAATGTGCACTAATTTGCTAGATTATATATTCAATTAAAATACAACAAGCTAGGCAAAAATAGCCAAAAGACTCAAGAGATACTGTATCATTAGTCCTCTAGTCATTATAGTTAAATGTACATCTCTTATTCAGATTCATAAAAAAAAAAAAAATATCTAGTGGTCTTGGACATCTTGGCAGTGCCTCCAATACTTCATTGGCAGGCATGTCTGCACCCAAATTAGTATCACCATACCCAAGTTAAGGTTTTTAGTCCAACCTGAAAACAGACTGTAGGACTGAAGTAGAACAGAGACATTACCAGGAATGTCTAATAGACAGTAACATGGCAGAAGAGAGGCTAGTTTGAATAGTGGAACAACAAGACCATTAAAAAGGAGAGACGGCTGTTGATATCTGTGGAGTGAAATTAGCAGGAATAAGGTAGATTTTAATAAACCATGAAGTCAATTGACTCAGTGCTGCCTGAATAGGAGTACCACTGCCCTTCCCAGGCAGTTGGTTTTAAAGTTTGGGAGCAGAAGGAAGCAAAGGGGGTGTCACTATATGGCCACCCCTAGGATGTCCGGGACATCCCTAGGGCACCGTGACCATGTCCACTCTGCCCTATGGGTGCCTACTAATCTCATCTGCTATGTCTTGCTGATATAAATGATGAATTAAGAGGCTACCCTTGAGTTGTGGCTCGGTCACAGTCCTGGCAGACTCCTCTAAACCCTGTGGGTTGTTAGACCCCTTAATTGGGTCCCACACTCAGGAGGTACCTTATGATACTCCCCCCCCCCCCAAGCTTTATGGGCTTGATGTGCGACTCCAAAACCACCCTTTTATCACACCCCATGCCTCGCAGATGTTATATAGACTTTGTCTTCTTGTGTTGAAGCCTCAGCTTAGTCTTGGCTTCAGTAACTACACTTTCTGGCAGTGGTGTCTGCTCACCCCTACCACTACACCCTCTCTGGTGCTGGGGTCTCCACACTGTACTGTGCCCCAATGAAGCCTCCTCCTCCCCAGTAGCCTCATCCCAGCCCACCAGTTTAAATAACAAGAAAGCACAACACAACCATAACAAAGGGTCCACACTCTATCCCCTATTAGAAGGCAAACTTCTCTCTCAATTTACTGGGCCTCCCCCAGTACCTATGAGCTCCTATAGCCCCTTAATCCTGACAGGCAGTCAAGCAACTCTAGTTATCATCCTCTATGAAAGCTCCTTCTCTCTTGGCTGCTGCCAGAAAACTAACTCTCTAGTCTCAGCCCTGGGGTTTATGAGCGCCCAGGGCCCTGCCTTCTTCTGGTCAGCTGACCAGGTACAGGTGCAGGCTAATTTCCTCATTAGCCTGGTGCCACAGTAACCTGCACCTGTGAGGTTTCTGCCTGACTGCTAGGGCCCTCTCTCTAGGCAGGAGCAGGCACCTTAGTGCCCTGTGACAGGGGGATGCAACTGCACCACGGTACTCTCCATGGATCTGTCCCTGGAAGGAAGTACAACAGGCCAGGAGTGGAGTGATGGGTGTTGGTAAAATTGTGTGGGAAAGTTGCAAAGAACCTGTCTGCACTGCTAATTTATATCCAGTGTTATTAATCTTTCAGTAAATGTAGTAGAAATGTTGTTTCTCTTGTTTGTTTCTCTGTTGATGCATCTGTACACGAGCCTCAGTTCTCAAATTTTGCTTGCTTACCTCTCGTCATTTGGCCCACGCAGTGGGTTCTGTCCTGCAAAGCCCAGCATGTTGATATGATCTCTAATGAACATGATGTCCCCAACTTGGAAATGTTGGTTAAGTCCCCCAGCTGCATTTGTGACGATTAAGATCTCTACCCCAAGGAGGAAAAACACCCGGATGGGAAAGGTTACCTACAAAATCACCAAATAACAAGATATCTGCATGATAAGTTTCAGGCTTCTTAGCTTGGAGACCTGCCCAATGGTTCCAGGCACACTATGCACATTCAGGCACATAATATACTGTTTTCTGCTCAGAAGTTCTGGTTTGGATTAATAGGTAAACTGATTTAGTTTCTTTCTGTGCCTGCCTCTTTCCGTTTCCTTCACAGAGAGTTATTGAGCAGTGATGAAAACAGAAAAAGGAGGTGATGCTACTACTGATTAGCTGGTCAATTGAAAATTAAATTTACTAGCAGTTCACAAAGTAACAGTCGCTAATCACCAACATTAGCAGCATAAAAATTACATGCCAGAGTTGCATTGGGAATGGAAAAAGACAACGGGACAAAGGAATCTGCAGATTGTGGGCTGGGCTGGGCTGGGGAGACAGTGGTATGGGCTTTCAGGAAAATGCTTCCTTACCTCCCTCTGATTTAAGAAAGCAAATTATCTTTTTCATGGTGCTCCACTTCATTTAGTCTATGCTGCTTAAAACCTTTATGTCATCTTCCCTGATTCAGCTCTCTGGTTTCCCACATGTATCTTTAAATTGACCAGACAAAAAGTGCCCCTTAATCAAAAGGTCTGAGTCTCTGAGTTACAGCTGCTTGGTCTGTGACCAGCTCTTCATCCTATTTACACTTCAAAGGCAGCCCTACAATGAGAATCTCAAAAGGCAGCCCTACAATGAGAAAAGTGAACTGGATTCTGTTTGGCTTAGCATGTTACAAGTGTCAGCTAAATTCTGTCTGCAAAATCATTGTTATAGGTGAAGATGTAGGCGACAGAGAAAACCCAGCTGAAGTTTCAGCTCAAGGATGGCATTTGCAGGCAAATAATCTTTTGTCTTGTAAACTGGGTTTATTGGTTATGAGAACACTGAACAAGAATAACTCTAGAACTGATAATGTTCTTTGCCTAATCACTGTTCTGAAAGTAACTGCCCTCTTGCTACTACATGTCCATATCAATGTAGTTTTATCACTTTTCTGATACAGGGCCCAATTTTCACACCTTGCTATTTTAATATGATATCACATTCCATATTGGATATGTAGATCGGTACCAGACAGCTCATGAGGTTAACCGTTGTAACAGATCCACAAACACATAAAACTAGGCCTGTGCAAATAGGGAAGTATTCAATTTGGACTTGGATTCAGCCAATCCAGAGGGCAGTGATCGAATTGGAGATTTGGATCACTGTCCCGAATCGGCGCCGATTCAGAGAGATTTGGAGATTCGGCCATAGACTATAATGGGGAATCACTGAAATACCTATAACTTTGTCATTTTTTGGCGGACTTGGATAAAAATTGCAGGACTGCTAGCCCCTTCTGGGGGCATGAAGCCTGTCAAATTTCAAGGAGATCGATGTAGGGGTTTCTGGAAAACTGAACCTCAAACTTCTGAAAGCTAAACTAGTGTTATGTGTGTGTCAAGGCAGATTTGGATGAAAACAGCAGGGATGGTACCCCTTCTGAGGGCAGGAGGCCTGCCAAGTTTCAAGAAGATAGGTACAGGGGTTCCTGGGAAACTGCACCTCAGGCTGCTGACAAGCAACACTCATGACATGGGTGACACTGTGTGTGTGTTAAGGCGCAGCAGGATGAAAACTGCAGGCATGCTAGGCCCTGCTGAGGCCATGGAGCCTGCCAGCTTTCAAGAAGATAGCTGCAGGGGTTTCTGGGAAACTGCACCTCAGGCTGCTGACAAGCAAAACTTGTGACATGGATGACACTGTGTGTGTGTTAAGGCGCGCCCTCACTGGCACTGGGGCCTCTACATGACACGGTAGTGTGCCCCAATGCGGCCTCCTCCTCCCCTACAGCCTCAGCTTGGCCCACCACTTTAAATGACAACAGGTAATAATAACTTAGTGAGCACTAGCACAGTAGCACCAACAGCATCTCAGGCAGCCAAACTGTCACAGACTAGAGCCTTTTTTTCCTTTCCTGCAGAAGCTTCTTCTCCAGCAGCTTCCAGACAATGCTCCCTGCCAGCCCCAGCTCTGGGGGTTAGATGTGCCCAGAGCCCTGCATCCTTCCGGTCAGGTACTAGAGGTGTTGGTCTAAGGACATGGCACTGGCAGACAAGGTCCTTTGGGTCAATCTAATCTGGTATCTTTTAGAAGACCAACTGAATAGTTAGAGAAATATATCTTAGCAAGCTTTTGTCACAACCCAAAGTTGTGGTTTTTTGTTGGGTTCTAAATGTAGGCATACGTGGTGGCTAGCTATTGGCTTGCTAGCCGTACAAAAGGCTTGGGTAGTTTCTGCCCAAGTCAGAGAGAGAGGAAACCTGGAGAGATACAGAACTCGCCAGGAGGAGGAGACTTCTCGCTGTGTGAAGATCTCCAAGCGATGTGGACCCTTGCGGACCCAACGCACCTTTCTTAAGCAGGCAACGGAGGTCTATTTAGCTTCTAGCCTCTCCCCGTCACCGAGCGCAATCCTAGACGTATCCCTATCCTATATACTCAATTTTCGAACCCACGGAGTCTTAACAGCTCCGGGGGACCTGGGAACCGAACAGAACCCACAGAGATTAAGTCACTCCGTGAGGAAAGAATTGCCGAACCCGCGGAGCCTAAACCACTCCAGGGTCAAAGAACCGAGTTTGTCAGAGTCCTCCAACGAGGATTCAAGCGGAGCTGCACCTGGAAAGCTGTCCAGCCTACACTGCGACCACCTTGGGTGTAAGTAAATAATCTTTTCAATCAACCATTACGCCTCCGTAACTGATTCTAGCTCGCGCGTGCCTTACCGCCCCGCGGTTTTCTTCGACCCCGTGTGCCCGGGCTGCTGGCCACAGTCCGCGTGCGCAAAGACGGGCCCGGCTCACACATGGCGAGGATGGGAGCGGGAGCCAGCCCGCACAGCTTTCAGGTTGAAAAACCCTTTATCAGGCTCAGGAAGCACCTGCCGTTGGTGTGTATGTGCTCTCCTGGATGGAAGGAATAAATAAAGAAGCCAGAGGCTGGCATGCAATGCAGGAAAGAAAGCCAGTCAGTGAAAATGGAAATGGAGGCGCCAGGGGGTGAGGAATAGGCTGGCAGGGGTGGGGAGGGGGGAATGTAGCAGCGCAGGTAAAAGTGTAGAGGTACCTGGGGAGTCAGATGTCCAGCAGGTTGTAGTGTGTCATAAATCCAATGTCTATATTGAGTCCATAAATTTCATAGGCCCAGCTGTGAAAAGTGATTTGTAAATTCCCTTTCAGGATCAGGCCTGAGAGACTGGAGACAGAGTGTTTTTTGGGGAGAAATGTGACCCCACAGGTGGTTGGGTATTCTTGTCTTTGATACATTCTGGTGTGCAGTTTGTGGGGGTACTGGGGATTGTTGGTAGGTTTTTGAGCTGTAGGAAGTTGGCTTCTGGTGATGAGGTTAGCGAGGTTCAGTGCTTGTTTGAATTTATAAACCACTTTTCACAGCCAGGCCTATGAACTTCACTTCATCAGCCTCCTAGGTAGTAAGTACAGAAATTCATGGACTCAATATAGACATTGGATTTATGACACACTACAATCTGCTGGATATCTGACTCCCAGGTACCTGTCCACTTTTACCTACTACATACCCCTTCCCCTGTACCCCAGCCTGTCTCACTCACACCCTGATGCCTCCATTTCCATTTTCACTGACTGGCTTTCTTGCCTGCATTGCATGCCAGCCACTGGCTTCTTTACTGTTGCTTCCATCCAGAAACAGCACACACACCAACTGCAGGTGCTTCCTCAGCCTGATAAAGGGGTTTTCAACCCAAAAGCTGGCATCCCAGGCAGCTAAGCTGAGCTCACCTGGAGCCTCACAACTGCACTGCAACCAACAAGCCTTAGGCCCATCAAAGACAAGACATTCCTGGGGCTGCCAGCAGTTCCACCAGGACTTCCTGACCCTGGCAGAGAGCAGTTTTAGTGGTCATGCCCAGGACATGGGGCCTCCTTCCCCATAGCCCTAGCCTATACCTCCAAGTTCATCCTGGCACAGAAGCTTAGCAGGGACACGTTCTTCCCCTGCTGGCTGGTGATGCAGTGAGTTCCCTCTCTGCTCTGAGAGCGGGGCATTAACTGGTTTAAACAAATAAAATGGAAATAGGTGCAGACGGAGTGAGGAGGGTGGCACTCACTCTGTCTGCAGCTGGAGCTTGGGGAGCCCTAGCAGTGGGAGGTTCACCTTGAAGAACACTAGCTGCTCCAGCAAACCAGGATCCAAGGAGGTGCGGTGGGGTGTCACAACATCCCCAGCAATGTTGAACACCCTCTCACTTGGAACACTGGTCGGTGGACAGGACAGGTGTTTGTGGGCAACTGTGGACAGACCCTGCCACATCTGGTTGTGGGTTGCCCAATAGGCCAAGGGGTCACATCGCAGCGGCTCCATGTCCTCAGCGAGATAGGTAGCCACCGAAGCCTTGGCGCTACCTGCCCAAGGCTGGGGTCTGGTGTATCTGGACCCCAACATTGAAGCTATGCTTTTGGTTCACATTGGCAGTGGCTGGCATGGAGGACACTGGCTGGTGCTGGGAGTGCTGGCACAGGAAAGTGAATCCTTCTCTTCCATATCCCCTCACACCTTGCCCTTTTCTCCCTGACTCTGTTGACCAGCACCTCCATCCAGTGATAGAGGATTTTGGTGCTGCCAGTGCACATGCTCTCCATCACTCTCAGGTTGCACATGTCTGCTAGTATGTGAAGTGTACTAGATCACAACAGATCCAGCCATTTCCTGATGCCCTCCTTCAGCTGCCTCACCAGTGCTGTATACCTGGTGACAGCAGTTTGCCCCAGCCAGGAACATTGATCCCCTGGAACTTCTCCATTTGGTTCTGAAGTTCCCTCGCTACGGGGATCACTTGGCTAAGGAGGGCATTGCCAGCACTGAGGGTTTCAGCGGCCTTGAGGAAGGGCTTAAGGACTGCTAACATCAGGTATGTGGAATTCCACCGAGTCTCCACATCCTGCATGATTTT